TTCCCCAGGCTGCCGGTGGCCCTGCCCTTGTGCTCTGGTTGCTATGTAACGCTGAGTTTGGGGAGTGGGAGGTTGGAGGGATGGTCTTCAGGGGCTTATCACACTGTCCCCTGCTGGGTCCCAGCTTCCCCGCTGGTGGGAGGAGGGGCAGGCTGGGCTGTCCCGGGAGAGCCCAGCGAGGAATCTGGTCCCCAGACCTCATACCATTGTCCACCCAGCACCTCCATGCTGAGGGCTTGTCTCCCTTGAGGAAGGGCCGAAATGTCCTTTGGCCATAGGTCTCAGCCCTGGGCTCAGACAGGAGGGGGGCTCGGTGGTGGCTGGCATCCTCGCCCCTGCGCTGCCTGTGTGGTGGGAGGTGGGCAGAGCATGGGCTCCTGTAGATTCCGTGGCCCTCAGGGCACCTCCGGGTCACCTTTTGCCAAGGGACTGAGCCCTGTGTGCCTGGGAACAGTCCGTCTTCGGGGTGAAGCTCCAGTGACTGCCCTCCGCTTCGGTTCTTGTTTGGCTACGAAAGGGGCAGCTCTGTGCCCTGAATACGCAGGGACTGGGCTGTGTGACCTCAGGCAAGTCACCCTCCCCCCATGAACCTCAGCTTCCTCATAACTAACCACTGGGAAGGCTTCCCTCTGCCCCAGCAGGACCGCTCCCTTCCCCCGCCCTCCACAAGGGACTCACCCGCCCTCCCGCTGGCCAAGAGGGTCCACAGCAGGGGCCAGCTCCCCCAAACGTTCCTTCTTAGTCCTCTTCTGGTTCTGAATGGAGACCAGTCCAGCACTCCAGCAGATAAAGAAATTTCCAGCAAATGTTAACAAGTGAGATGCCTTTCGAGATCTGAAAGGACTGTCCTCCTAAAATCGTGGTCAAGAAGACTGGAGACAAACAGAGCCCCGGAGGAGGAAGGACCGTCCGCCTAGCCCTCCCTCCTGCCTGGAGCGGGACTGTCCCAGCTCCCAGAGGTGGTTCTGCCGTCTCCGCCCCTGCCCTGCAGGAAGCCCCTGGCCCCCAGTGCCCCCACCCAGACCCTGCCCTTCCTGCAGGCCCCTCTGCCCTCTGTCGCTACACCCAGGGACCTGGGGCTTCAGGGGCCGCTCAGCCCACCCGGCCTGGCGCTGGGGCCCGGGGAAGGCCCTGGCAGGAAGGGGAGAGCGCGGACGTGAGTGGGCTGACGGAAGGGAAACTCCCAGTCGCCACGCAGGCTCTGCTGCTCACGGGGCCCATCGAGGAAGGACAGTGCTGACGAGGTGCCGCTCCTCGGGGCACGTTCGCCCTGCCCCTCTCTGAGCCCCACAGGCCGGCTGGCCTCCCCTGGCAGCCTGCTCCAGGTCCCTGGACATCGGGCCTGGGCCGTGTCCTGACCGTCTGTCCTTCACGGTGCGCCTTGGCCAGCCCTCCCCCCATCTGTCTGCACTAAGAAGTGGGGCTCTGTTCAGTTAAAGAGGAAGCCCTGCTGCCCCCCAGGGGTAGAGAAGGGGGGGCAGGGAGGGGGAAGGGGGGCCCAGGGAGGGCACCTGCTGAGGCCCTGGTGGGTGCCGGGCAGCGGGCTTCTCCCACTCGGAAGGGCATGTCCCAGCCCTGCGGTTCCCCGGCCACTGCCCTTACCTTCCACTCTGCTTTGTGTCCAACACCCCACCCCCGCCCCAGCAATTGGAGGAGCCCGAGCTGCAGGAGTCTGTCAGGTGGAGGTCTCACTGTCCCTCTGCCGTTCGCTCATGCGCTCTGCGACCTCGGATGAGTCCCATTGGTCGTCGGAGCCTGTTTCTTTGTGTAATGTGGACGGTTTCTACCTCAGATGTTAGTTGGCAGAATTTTCAGGTGGTCGATGGAATGCAGGCACAGCACCGGGCGTGTGGGGACCCCGTCTGCATCCGTGCACGCACCTCCCCGCAGAGCAGCAGGGGCCCAGGAGCGCTCGCCCTGCCCCAGCGCCCAGTGGCCCTGAGGACCGTGCGGGCTGGTCCCTGCCGGTGTGCTGCCCGCGGAGCAGGAGGACCCCGCGGCAGGAAGCGGAGGCTGAAGCCCAGCGCATGGGGAGGCCGCGGCCCACCTCCCTCAGGGACAGCCCAGCCTGCCATGTGCTGATTGGTTACATTGTCAGATTCACCTACACGCCGAATCGGTTAAATCTAAAAAAAATCTCTACTGACGGAAATGCTTTGGCCAATGAGCCGATCAACTTTGTTTGCTCCCTAATTATTAACTCACGAAGAACTCAAGCAGCCTGGCATGTGGTCAGTCTTGGTGACTGTTAGTGTGAGGGAGTGGACGGCATTGGTTCCTTTCTCCCTTAGTGAGAGGGTGTGGTCGGTTCCAGAATGAAGTTTCTTGCCTTTGAGGATTTGTAGTGTGTGTGTGTGTGTGTGTGTGTGTGTGTGTACATAATAGCCCTGGCCAATTTGCTCAGCGGTTAGAGCATTGGCCCATGGACTAGAGAGTCCCAGGTTCGGTTCTGCTAAGGGCATGTACCTCGGTTGCAGTTTGTCCCCGGCCCTGGTTGAGGTCTTGTGGGTGGCGACCAGTCCATGTGTCTTTCTCACATTGATGTTTCTCTCTCTCTCTTCCTCCCTCTTCCCCTCCTGCTCTATCTGAAGATAAATGCAAAAATGTCCTTGGGTGAGGATAAAATACATAGGTAGGTAGGTAGGTAGATAGATATATTAATGTTACTATTACATACTTATATATATATTCAAACTAAATATATGTGTATGTACATATATTAAAAACTAATGTCTGTTCAGACCGTCCCACAGGACACGGGTGTGGCAGGCTCAGGCGGTAGGAGGCCCTGCCTGTGTCCAGGGCGTCTCTGGCAACTGTTTGCTTGATTTCCCATGATCCCCTTTGTTTCTGCTTTGCTGCCTCCTTCTCAAAGGTGCCCATTCTCCTGCCGGGTCGGTTACTGAAAGCTTATGAGTAAATGCCGGGTCACAGCAGGAGGTCGGAAATACTGTGGAGCACCCTCTTCGAGGTTCACTGTTGGTTCGGGGCAGGTCCTCGCTCGGTGTCCTCATGATCAGGTAGAGCAGTCTGGGCAGGTGTCTGCCCCCTGCCTCTCCCCTCAGCACACCTGGGTTTGGGCCCAGAGGGTGCAGGATGGCAGTGGTGACGCCGGGGTCAGTCAGCGTAGGAACTGGCAGCCGGCCTGGCCCAGGCACCTTCTGCAGGCCCCGGTCCCTGTCCCAGCTCAGGGGTGTGCGCTGCGGCTCCTGCGCCCGTAGCCACCGCAGGAGGTCACGTCTGGAGGAGCTGGCCAAGGACTTCCCTCTTTCATCTGTGAAAGCAGTGCCTCCCTCAGTAGAGTCTAGTCCAGAAAGAGCCCTGGAATCAGGAATTGGCCATGTCGGGCCTGTTAGATGGGTGGGGAGACAGTCCACTCACGCGATGGACAGCTTGCTGCCTGGGAGAATGGGGCGATCCTGACCCCAACCTTACACCAAAACGAACTCTAGGTAGGACTCTAGGTAGGAGTCCCCTGTAGACTGTGAAACTGCAAGATTACAGGGAGAAATGTGGGAGAATTGTTATAAATCCCGGCGAAGGGAGGTCTTTCTCAGCCCACAGAGAAGCCCACTGGGGAATTGTGCAGGCCTAGTGAGAAGTCCGAGAAACCACAGTGTCCACCCTGCCACACGGAAAAGGTTGACTCCTTCCTCTGGGAAGCATCCCTGTGACTCACGCCCAGAAGACGGACAGCTGCGTAGACGGACAGCTGCGTAGACGAGCACAGAGGGAGGCGCAGGCCGATCCCACGCCCGCGGCCGAGCTTACGCGCCATGAGGCCCGCGGTGGCCGGTGCTATCCGGGCCGTGCGCCGAGCTGTGAAGTGGGGTGACTAGCTCCCGCCAGGAGGTGGGGGAGGTGAAGCCTGGAGGACACGGCACAGGGCAGAGCTGTGAGAACACGCCGTGGAGAAGCGGGAAGAGATGCTCGGGCCCCCTGCAGGGTCACCACTGCGGGACAGGAAGTGCTGGGGTGAGCCCCTCCACAGTGTCCGACCACAGGAGCAGGCGCCACACCACCGCTGGGCATGTGCTTCTGTTGGACGGGTGCTCACGTTCCACTGAGTGGTCTCTTCTGGTGGTCTCCCCAGAAGCGACGCAGACGTCAGAAACCCATCCTTGGGAGGAAACTGGTTGCGTAATCCGTGGTCTGTCCACAAGCTGGGCGCCACGCAGCTTCAGAGTGAGGCAGGTCTGCAGTGCTGTGCAGAGCTTGCTCCCGGGCTGGGCGGCGAGACCAGGTGTCACAGGAGCACGAGAGCCACCTCCGGGAGAGTGAGCGGTGTTGCCCCTGCGTGCGCGCCCCGGGCCCTGGATGGCGTCCGGGCAGAGGTGACTGCTGTGCCGAGGGGGCGGACCCGTGAATCCTCCTGTTCCGTAATCTGAAAGCACCTGTCTGGTGATGGACATTGCCGTGAATCAGTAAAAGGCATTGCCACGGGCTCAGCAGGGAGCAGGGTCCGTCTGCTCCGATCTAGCTCCTCCACTAGGTGCGGCACCTCTGCCCTCTGTGGACTGGAACAGAACCTGACGCACGGGTGTGGCGTGCCGTGGGAGGGTCACCGCCCGCTCGTGCTGAGCAGTGGGCTCCGCTTGGACCCGCCCTCCCTAGAGCAGGGACGCCTTTTCATTACCATCCCCCCAAGACTCCTCTCCTCAGGGTGAGGCTGGTGCCTTGGGTGCCCGCCCCTGTCACCAGCTACCCGACTGAGGTGATGGTCACAGGCTTAAGTTATAGTCATTTGTGAGGAAGCTTGGGATTTCCGCCTGTCCTTGCCTTGGCTGGGTGTGCAGTGTCCCCAGGGCCTGCGGTGCTCACCTGGTGCGCTCAGGTGGGCGCGGCGGCTTGGGCAGGCTCTGCTGTGCGCACACGCCTCTCGCTGCCTGGCCTGGCCTCCCTGGCACCTGGGTCTCACTCCCTGTTGGTGCCTGCAGCGGAAGAGAAGAATGTGGTGCGGAGGCCGACCCGAGGCCCTCACTTCCCCTGTCTGCTCCCAGGGGCCCAACGTGATGGAAGAGCAGGACCTGCGGGAGATCGGCATCAGTGACCCCCAGCACCGCCGGAAGCTGCTCCAGGCCGCACGCTCCCTACCCAAGGTGATGCCCACAGCTCTGCAGCGTCAGCCTTTGCCAGAGCCGGGGCGAGCTGGGGTCTGGGTGTGCAGATTGCTCTGGGGTGTCTGCCCTCATCCTGGGGGACCCAGAGGGCGGCAGAGTCCTGTTCTCATCTTTGCCCAGTCCCGAGGCCCAAAGGGACAGTGAGGACCGGGTCTGGCCTAAGGACGGGTGCAGGCATCTGCCTGGTGTGGGAGCCTGGTGCCCACAGGCTCGGCTCACAGAGGCCCCTTCGGTCCCCTGAAGCACCCGAGAGCAGGCCCGCCTGGGACTCCCCTGGGGCCAGGGGCCGGTGGGCCTCGCCGCTGTGCTGGCACCGAGTCCAGTGCCCCTTCCCTTCGTCTCGCCGGAGCCCAGGGAGCATGAACCAGTCCCAGCAGTGAGGCCGGTGCCTGCTTCCCAGACCCTGTGTTTCCTCGTCCCACCAGGACATGACCCCCTCAGACACAGGGGGGGGCCTTCTGCAAACCCTGCCCCACCTAGCTTTACTTAGTGGGGCCACCTTCCCCAGTCCCCGCAGGCCGTGGTGGTCCCAGAGGGGGACCTGAGACCGAGCCACAGTGGAAAGGGCTGTCAAAGGGAGGGACTCGGGGCTGGGGCCACGGACCCAGAAGCTGGCCTGTGCCTACCCCAGCGGTGGCCTTGGTGTGGCTGTGTGAGCCGGCCGGGGTCTCCGTGGTCCGGGAGTGCTGAGCTGGCCGCCCCGCCCCCTCCTTGCCCCGCAGGTGAAGGCTCTGGGCTGCGACGGGAACAGCCCCCCATCAGTGCCCTCCTGGCTGGACTCCCTGGGGCTGCAGGACTACGTCCACTCCTTCCTGTCCAGTGGCTACAGCTCCGTCGACACCGTGAAGAACCTCTGGGAGCTGGAGCTCGTCAACGTGAGCAGCGCAGCCAGGCCCTGGGCCGCCAGCTGAGAGGGGACAGGCCAGCCGCCGGCTGACCGCCGCTCTCCTCCCACCCAGGTCCTGAAGGTCCACCTGCTCGGCCATCGCAAGCGCATCATCGCCTCCCTCGCGGACAGGCCGTACGAGGAGCCGCCCCAGAAGCCCCCGCGGTTCTCCCAGCTGAGAGTGAGTTGGAGGCATGGACAGGCCCATGGGTGCTGTGTTGTTAGGAAGTGGGAGGAGGATTAGGAATTCTTCAGAGAGGGGCAGAGGAGCCTGCACCTCTGCCCCAGGCGCTTGCTTGGGCTGGTTATTTATCAGTCAGGTGCCTCCCATCTGAGGAGTACGTAGGAAAGACAGTGCTAGGAGAAGCAGGAATCCAACCTCGAGTCCCGGGCTGGGCGGCAGGTCTGAGCGAGGAGGCAGCTACGCTCGGGGGCGGGGCAGCCAGGGGCCGGAGGAGCCCCTTCCGGACAGTGTGACATGAACCTGAGCCTGACACAAAGCTTGGAACACACAGCAGGACCTGGTCCCTCGCCCCCAGTCTCCTGGAGGAAGATTCCTGTGGCGGGCTGGGTGGCTGAGACCTGTGACAGCCTCAGGTGCTCTGTGGCTCCAGCCAGGTAATTCCTGGCTGCAAAAGCAGGTGGTCCGGGGTGCCTGTCTCCCAGCCCTCGGGGCTGAGCTGCCTCAGAAAGTGGGTGCTGTTCTGTCCTCCTCCTGCACGTGGGGAGCTGGGCAGGCTGGTTCTGAGGGCCGCGCGGCCGGCGCTCAGCCGTGGAAACTGCTCTGGTCCCGGCTCCCAGGGCAGCAGGTTCCCCCAGACCCACGATGTGGCAGATCGTTGACCTTCCAGAGTGGAAGCACGTCCCAGCCCTGGAACCCCTTTTCCTGTGCAGCTCCAGGCCAGGGGGTGCGCTAGTGAACTGGGGGTGCTCAGTTGCCCACGGGACTGGAGTCGGGGCTCCCTGGTTCCAGCAAGAATTTGGCTGCTTTGTCTGTGCCCAGGCTGGGCCCAGCGAGCCATGGGGTGCCTCCCAGGCCCGCACCTGTCCTGTCTCACTGCGCCGCCCTGAGGGCCCGGAGCAGCCCCGGGACTGCTCACCCCTGCAGCCTCGGCCCTGGCCTGACGGCCCCGTCTCCCCTGGACTTGTCCCTGCTGCAGTGCCAAGACCTGCTGTCCCAGACGTCATCCCCCCTGAGCCAGAATGACTCGGGCACCGTGCGGTCCGCCGACCTGCTGCTGCCTCCTGCGGACGCGGGCAGAAGGCGGCACGACAGCCTTCCTGACCCTGCAGCACCCTCTCGAGTGGAGCGCTTCAGAATCCAGGTGGGGAGGAGGGGTGTGCTGCAGGCAGGGGTCCCCTTGTTCCTCTGGGCAAGAGAGGGCCTCCGAGCCCCGGCCCCCTGCTGGGCACTGCTGGGCTGGCACTGGGAGCGGTAGAAAGACACCAGCCTCTGTGCCAGGCCTCCCGCGTCTGTGTGGCCTGGCCCTCCCTCCGCAGAAGGCCCCCTGGCCACCGCCCCTGAGCTCCTCCCGTCTCAGCCCTGCCCTGGCCTCTTCATCCTGACCCTGCCCATTGCCCAGACTTCCTGTCCCCCCGCCCCTCCCCCTGCAGCCTGCTCAGCTCAGCTCTTCCTGCTGTTCTGTAGCCCAGTGGGCGTCCCCACTCAGCTGCACCCCCGCGCTTGCCGTTGTGCATCAGAGCTGCCCTCCAGGTCGGGTGCCCTCGGCCCTTGTGGGTGAACTTCAGCTTCACTCCTCTCCTCTGAATTCACACTTCTCACGTCTGGGTCCGGGCCTCTCCCTGCCTCTGCGAGCAAGGCTGTGATTTGTATCAGCTTTAGAGGGAATGTCATCTGCGCTCTGGCTGCTCAGCCCGGAGACTGCACGTTGCTGGGAATGGGAGTCGTGACCACTTCCTGGGTCTGGCCCTCCTCCCCATCCTTCCACGAGTGCCCGAGGCAGGGGCCCGCTGTGCCACGCAGGGACTGCAGGGGGCCCCACCCCGTCCCCACTGCTGCCCGGGCTGTGGGTGCTCAGTGTTCACCCCAGGACCAGACCCAGGGCCCAGGCTGGGACGAGTCTTCCTTCCGGGAACCTAGCGCCTTCCCCCTGCTTCATGCCCTGAGCTGCCCGCACAGACCTGGTCTCCCCTGTAGTTTTGGTCATTTCCCATCTCCATTAAGACTCCTCTCAGACGTCACAGAACCTTCCCGGCTGAGCCTGCTTTCTGTGCCGTACGCCCTGTTTCTCCACCTTGTCTCTGGTGCCTACCTCTACCACAGTGCCTTTGCATGGCTGGCTGCCTCTGCTGTCCTCACGCGGGGAGCGGGGAGCCAGTCGCTCCTCTGGAGGGGTGGGTGGGCAGACCTGTGACCTGTGTGCTCTGCAGGAAGGGCACCGAGAAGCCGGGCTGACCCTTCGGCCCCCCAGCCTTGCCGCCCCCTATGCCCCTGTGCAGAGTTGGCAACACCGGCCAGAAAAACTCATCTTCGAGTCCTGTGGTTATGAAGCCAATGTGAGTTTCCCCTGCCCTCCCAGCCCAGCCAGCCTCCCTGCTTCCTGTCCCCCAGTGCGCACCCACACAGCCCTCCCCCCCAGGCTCAGGGCTCTTCAGACACTCCCAGCACCTGGGGTGGGGCCTTCCTGGCTGGCAGGGGGCAGGGAGTCGCTGGGAGAGGGAGCCATTGGGTTGGGGTCCCACATTGGCGGGCTCACTCCCACAGTACCTGGGCTCCATGCTGATCAAGGACCTTCGAGGGACAGAATCCACACAGGACGCTTGTGCCAAGATGCGGGTGCGTCATCTTTGTGGGGTGAGGGGGGCTGGCAGGGACGGAAGTCAGCAAAGGGGGGTGCCAGCTACAGCCACCTGGGCCCTTCGTCAGGAGAGGGTGGGGATGTGGCTGGTGGCTGTGGGTCCCAGGGGCTGAGCCCTGAGAAGGGGTGTTCACAGGCTACCCCTGTTTCCTACAGAAGTCCACCGAGCACATGAAGAAAACCCCTACCATTATCCTGTCCATCACCTACAAAGGGGTCAAGTTCATCGATGCCTCCAACAAGGTGCACTTCTCTCCCTGTCCCTCAGCCCGTGCTCCTCTCCGCCCCACCCAGCCCGGTGCTGGTCTCTCACGCACCCACACCTCCTGGCCCCGGGGTGCGTGTCAGGGCCACCTCTGCGTGCCCCCCGCATGGGTGCCCTCACCCGCCTGCGTGCACAGAGGCCTTTGCTGGTGCGAGCCCCTTAGTGAGCACAGGACTCCCACACTCCTCGTGCTGGGCACCCCCCTCGGACACCCCTCTCTCCTGGGCTGGGGATTGGATGTGAGCATTTCACTCTGCCAGCTGCCGTAGTCGAGGGTGGAGACCCCAAACCTAAATCTGGTGAGGTTAGACACGGCCTCCACCGAAGAAGTAGACGACGTGGTGTGGGCCGTGGCGTGGGCCGCCGACCGGGCTTGGACACAGCAGGGTGCCCTCGAGTCGAGGTTCCAGGCCCACTTTCCTCAGCAGAACGTGATCGCGGAGCACGAGATCCGGAACATCTCCTGCGCGGCCCAGGACCCGGAGGACCTCTGCACCTTCGCCTACATCACCAAGGACCTGCAGACTGGCCACCACTACTGCCACGTCTTCAGCACGGTGGACGTGGTGGGTGGAGCCGCGCTCTGGCAGATGGGAGGGCTGGGCTCCTGGCAGCCGCCCCGCTGGTCCCTCTGTGCAGCAGAGATGAAGCACAGAGGAGGAAGGCGGCTTGTGCAGGGTCCTGGGGACAGGCTCTCCTGCTTCTGGCCAGTGTGTCAGCCCGCCGTGGCCTTTGTCTCCCCCAGTGCCCTGTGCCTGCCTCGTGGGGACACGGGGCCCACTTTCCTCCTCATTCTGGGCGCAGGTGCTGGGCTGAGGGGAGCTGCCCACGGGCTTGGACAAGCGAGAGGACTCTGTCTGCCCTGAGACAAGGCCCCAGGCTGTCTCCTCCCCCCAGACTCTTGTCCAGGTCCCTGTCACCCTCAGGGAGAGGAGCTCATTCCTAACCTGCAGCTGCTGCACCAGACAGCCCAGCACTCCCAGCCCCAGGCAAGGGGATGGCCTGTGCCAGCCTCCTGGGCTTGCTCTGAAGACGGAGGAGCAACCTGCCCAGTCCGCCTTGCTCCCGGCTCTAACCCGCCCCGTGTCGGGCAGTTCTGTGGCACACCCGTGTGCTCCCGGCTCTAACCCCCCGTGTCGGGCAGTTCTGTGGCACACCCGTGTGCTCCCGGCTCTAACCCCCCGTGTCGGGCAGTTCTGTGGCACACCCGTGTGCTCCCGGCTCTAACCCCCCGTGTCGGGCAGTTCTGTGGCACACCCGTGTGCTCCCGGCTCTAACCCCCCGTGTCGGGCAGTTCTGTGGCACACCCGTGTGCTCCCGGCTCTAACCCCCCGTGTCGGGCAGTTCTGTGGCACACCCGTGTGCTCCCGGCTCTAACCCCCCGTGTCGGGCAGTTCTGTGGCACACCCGTGTGCTCCCGGCTCTAACCCCCCGTGTCGGGCAGTTCTGTGGCACACCCGTGTGCTCCCGGTTCTAACCCCCCGTGTCGGGCAGCTCTGTGGCACACCCGTGTGCTCCCGGCTCTAACCCCCCGTGTCGGGCAGTTCTGTGGCACACCCGTGTGCTCCCGGCTCTAACCCCCCGTGTCGGGCAGTTCTGTGGCACACCTGAAGGTCGCTGGCCAGTGAAATCAATCTGACCAGTGTTTGTGGGGACATGGCACCAGGGCACACACAGAAACTTCGACCAGTGAGATGTTAGGAGGAGAGGAACTGAGTGGAACCCTGAGACCATTCCATTTGTACCGAACTGCTGAGAAGCCCACGAGGACCCCAGTAACCAGGGTCCTCTCCCTCCTGAGCTCAGAAGTGTGGCTGTGGGAGGAGGGAGCAGAAACGGAGGAGACCAGGGATGACGGAGGAGACCAGGGGTGGCCGGGCAGCCCAGGCCCTGGGGCAGCCTGCAGCCGGTCAGGGTGGAGCCGAGGGCGTCCTGCCGCGGCCTGTTCCGGGCATCCCCAGACATGGGCCAGCGGGGCGCAGGTCTGCGTTCCCCTTGTGTTTCTCCCTGAGGGGGTCACGCTTGAGGGAACAGAATGTGTATTAGGTTCGATTGTTCCCTAATATGTCCGTTGCTTTGGGACAGAGACTAGTGTCCGGTGGAAATGACTGTCCCCTGTGCCCTGTTCTGGGTGAGGTCCAGCGGCTCCTCCCTCCATCTGCTGAGTGGTGCTGTTTCCTCCCAGACCCTGACCTACGAGATCATCCTGACGCTGGGGCAGGCGTTCGAGGTGGCCTACCAGCTGGCGCTGCAGGCCCAGAAGTCCAGGCCGCTGGGGGCCTCCGCAGCCGAGACCGTTGAGACGAAATCTTCCAAACCGGTGCCTAAGCCGCGCGTGGGCATGAGGAAGTCAGCAGTACGTGCCTGTCGCCGAGGCTCCCCTTGACCCGGGCTCGTGGGTGGTCTCCCACACTTCAGGCAGCTGGCCCCTCAGGAGACCCATTAGGCTCCTGCAGCACGTGCTCCCCTGGGGGGCAGGCCCCCTAACGTGGCGGACAGCTGTCCACCTGGCGCACCGGGGTGTGTCCACCACGGGGCTGCAGAATGTGGCCGGCGAGCCCCGTGACGTGGCATGTCTGTCTGTCTGCTTCGCGCCCCAGGTGCCGCTGCCCCCCGACAGTCGCTGTTGTTACTGTCACACCTGCTCCACCCATCGTCCTTCTTACCTCCCGCTGCCGTCTGTCAGTCCCGGAGTCAAGGTCTTTGCGTCTCCTGTGTCTGTGTGTCAGTCTTCCTGGAGTGACCGTGAGCTTCCTGAGACTCGTGGCCTCCTTTCCTGTTCCGCCCTCCTGCCGTCCCTGTCTGTGCTTCAGCCCTTTGTTCTGTGTCCTCCCTCAGGCTGGGGTGCGCTGTGGTCATGCCCGGGGTGAACCCTCTGGCCCTGCAGGGGACCGAGGCTTGGGTTTCCAAACCCCTTCCCCCTCCTGGCCCCAGCTTGGGGCTCGGGGCATGTGCTCAGGTCGGCGAGGCCCCTTGAGGTGGACAGCCCCGAGCATTCCTGGGACAGCCGCCTGTTCTGAGGCCCCGAGGCGGCCCTCCTGGCGGCCGTCTGCCGCTCGCGTCCCTCTTGGGCTTCCAGCACCAGCTCCGGGGGCTGCTTGAGAAGCCTCGGGCTGCACAGGCCGCTGGCTGGTCACGGTCACCCAGACGTTAGGGAGCTGGTCTGACCTGGTCTGTCTGAGACGCCCTGGCGTGGGGGGGCAGCCGGCACAGTGCTTCGTCTGACTCTTCTCCCTTCTTCCTTGGCAGCTGGAACCGCCCGACGTGGACCCAGATGCCCAGCCCCATGCCAGCGTCTCCTGGGTTGTGGACCCCAAACCCGACTCCAAGCGGAGCCTCAGCACCAAGTATGAGACCACTATCTTCTAAGCACCCCCGTCTCCACGAGCCTCACTGTGCCTTGCCCCCGTCTCTCTGCTCTTCTCCACTCTCCTTCCAGCTGCTGACGCAGGCCCCGCCCTGGGCCCTGCTGCTCTGGGCAGTAGCTGCAGACCCTGCACACTCACAGCCTGCACCACCACCGGACACTGTGAACCCCTGGGCGAGGACAGCTTGGGGGGATGAGTTGCCTTGGAGGCGGGTGCTCAGAGGGTTCAGGGGCCCTGCCACACTCCGGGAGCCTCAGCGGGCAGGCACTGAGTCCGAGGGCGGGGCCAGTCTTTGGGCAGAGTCCACACAGCTGGTGCCGCTGCCAACAGCTCTCTGCCTGCACCCTTCTCGACACAACCAGTCACTGTGACCACCTGGTGCCAGAACCCTGCACCCTGCTCAGCTGGCCTGCGCCCGGCCTCGCCCGTGCTGGCCTCCCTGGGACACCCTGCGCTCGGCGGTCTAGCTGGACCAGGGTCCGACTGCTGCCTGTGGGCCGAGGGCCGTGTCCCCGAGCACATGTGCTGCGCCAGCACCGTGGGCTGGCCTCCCTTGGCAGGTCTCGGTCGGGCGCCGGGACAGCATGTGGCCGGCCCCTCCCGTCTCCACCAGGGAGTCACAGGCTGGCCTGGAGTCGAGCCCCCCGAGGAGGAAGGCCTCCCCGTAGGACCCAGCGCACACGGTGCCCTCTTCCCTCCCAGAACCAGGCTGCTCGAGGGCAGGGACCTGGACTGAGCACCTCCCGTCGCCCCTCCCAGAGCTACACTGTCCGCAGTGTGGGGTCAGAGGCGGCGGCCCACACCCAGCCCCGTCCCTGCACCGGCCGCGCGGTCCTCCCACAGGCAGGTCGGCAGCCGCGATCCATCGAGGGGTCGAGGCTCTGGAGAAGCCCATGCTGCCGCGGGGCCACCCGCTCAGGTGGCAGGAGACGGGACAGCGGCCCGGCAGGGAGCAGTGCAGACGCGGCGTAGGCCAGTGGGAAAGCCGCTGGTGACTTTAGCGTTGAACCAGGTTGACAAAGCAGGGTGGTCCTGTGCCTTCCCAGGCAGGTGCGCTGAGCCAGAGGTGACTGGACGCTCGCGGGCTGTGGGGGGCCTTCCGTTCTGCTTCCTGTTCCCCTTCTGCCTCCTGTTCCCTCTCCTGTCCTCCACCTGTGCAGGCCCGTTGGTTAACCCTTTCCTCCCCCGTTGTGTTTGCTTCTGCCAAGCTGAGCCACTGAGGAACCAGCTGTGCTGCGGACACACAGGTGTGGGGAGCACAGGCTTCGCCACCACCACCACCGTCTCACCTGCAGCTCCGAAGCCCCAGGCCGGCCTCTGCCCGGAGCACCTCCTCCTGGCCGCCTGGCCCGGGCCTGCCACCTCCGGTCTTGCCGAGAGCGCCCTGCCCTGGCCGCAGAGCACTGTGGGCCTCTAGCCAAGGAGACTGGACTCCAGAGGGTCAAGATGTGACTTGTCCAGAACACATTTTTTAATAGAAAAAAATTTTTTATAAACTGAACTTTTAACACTTGGCTGAAACCTCTAGGTTAAGCTGCCAACCTTAGATAAGAGGACAGGGAGACAGACGGGCGCAAGGCTGGTCTGCCCAGCCTCTGTCCTGGGTGGATTTCGTGAGGTCCGGGGGGTCGGCGAGAAGGCAGTGCCTGTGGGTGGGGGAGGGGTGGGCGCCGGGGCACAGGTGACTGCGTGTCAAACCCTCGAGTCATACTGTTCCCTGCAACCTGCACACGTGTCCCCTCTAGACCTGGACACAGCCTGAGAGACATTTGGCAAAAGCAAAGGCTTCTGGCCCGTGTCTGGGGCTCCAGAAGTGAGGGTGCAGGTCGGCGGAGATGAGCAGGCAGCTCCTGGTGCCATGAAGTCCGAGCCAGCGCCTGGAGCTCCGGCCGCGCCTGGTCTCTAACCCGCTGCCTGGGCTGCCCGCCCCGAGCCTTCGAGCCTTCGGTGGGTCAGACCACCTGAGCTGAGTCAGGAAGGAGAGAAGCAGTTCGGTTTGGGGCGTGAACGGGTAGGCCAGCTAAGACTGCGGGCGGATCCGTGATGGGTCTGGTCAGGTCTGATTGGGCCTCACGTGGATGCCCAGCGTGGGCTCATCCCTGGCCCCTGCCCTGTCAGCCCCCCTGGGGTGCAGCAGAAGCGCGCTGAGCCCTGGGAGGCAGAGGCCACCACGCAGCTGCACGTCAGCCCCTTCAGAGCAGGGAGCAGGCCGCGCCGTGCATCCCTGGCCCGGGAAGTTGGGGGTTGGAGTTTGCTGCTGGCGAGCAGGCAGGGAGCGCTCCTGGGCGGCCAGGACTGCAGCGGGGCCCTCGGGCCTCCCTCTGGGCTGTCCTGCGCTGGGGCCTGGCCGTCACCTCCCCTCTGGAGCAGAGGCAGAAGAGCCCCTACTTTTTGGTACTAAACAGGAACCTCGACACCTGGAAGCCTGACTTGACGTGCTGCTTCCTCTGGGGCTGCGGGGAGTCCGTCAGCTCACACTGTGCAAGGCCCAGCCCCTCCCCCGGGAGCTGGGACTGGAGGGGGTGAAGTGGCGCTGCGGTCTCTGCTGGCCAGGACGCCTCTCGCTGTCGGTGGTGGGGCCGAGAAACTAGACACTACGATGAGTCCCTTTGGCCTAGCGTTTTTAAGTCACATGTAGGTGTTTATTCCCCTTGAAGCTGCTATGTCTTCTTTATTTATTCAGGGTATTTTCATATTAGAAAGCCTTGGCTGGTCTGCTTTGGCTCCGGGCTCTGGTTCTGAGGTTGGTTTATTTCTGAATATTCACGGAAGGAAAGGACTGGGTCTCTCTCTCCCTCTCCTCTGGGGCAGGCACTGTCCCTTCCCGAGACAGAAATGCTACCACGTTGAGGACAGGCTTCCGGGAATAGCCCTGCCTCTGCAAGTCTCTTCTCAGCCCGCAGTGGGGCAGACCCGGCTGCATTTCTGAGCACCGGCCGCGGGCTCTCTGGCCGCCTCTTCCGCTTGCCCGCTGCGTGCGCAGGGCGGCCCTCCTGGCGGCCGTCTGCCGCTCGCGTCCCTCTTGGGCTTCCAGCACCAGGCTGCGGGGGCCGCGCGGGCCGCCGGCTGGTCACGGTCACCCAGACGTTAGGGAGCTGGTCGGACCTGGTCTGTCAGATGCCCAGGCCCCAGGTGACTGTCACAAAAGTACTGTTGCTCATTGTGTGGCAATGGGGCTGAATTGTAATAAAAATGTTATTTAATCTTTGTCTCTGTATTTTGATACTTGAATGACTTCCTTTTATTTTACTGTACATATCCTTGTCGATCTGTCCAACTTTGTCTGAATTACAAACATCTTGTGGTACCAAACATGACGATCTGTGCGACAGCAGACGGACCTCACTGCGTGGGAGTGTAAATATTCCTGGGCTCCCAGCTTCGGTGGTTATTTTCATAACTGTGCAACTTAGAACAGACTGAATTAATAAATGAGAAGCGACATGAAACCAGCCTTTCTTTTTAGTTTTTGGAGTGTGTCCTGGTTGTTTGCTGGGTGGTGGGTCGCCCGCTGTCTGGCCAGGGTGAGGCCGGGAATTCTGCTCTGCCAGCGTCCCTGGCCGGAGGACCGCCGTTCTGCCTCGCCCTGGTCAGGCTCGAGGTCCCTGCACCGCCCTCCCCGCCCCAGGATGGGCCACGGCCTGGCCTCAGCTCCTCGACCACTGGCCTGGGCTGGCCACCCCCACACGTGGACCGTCCGCACGAGGCAGCGTGGGGAGCGAGGGCCCTGGAAGCAGTGTCTTCCTGAGAACTCAGAGTGCGGAGATCGTTTCAGACACACACTAGCTATTGGCCTGGAGCCCTGCAGCAAGGGCCACAAGACAGTCCGGGGCTGTGGGGACCCGAGGGACGGGGTGCTCCCAGAGCTGGGTGCAGGGAAGGAGGGGCAGGTTTGGGAAGGCCCAGGTGACACCAGCCAGCGCCTCGGCAGGCAGCCGTCCCAGCCTCGTGCTGTTCCGGGTGCGTGTTATCCCTGCTGAGGAAGGAAAGGCTGGAGCACCTGCCCAGGGCAAGAGGAGGGAACCGCAGAACCCAGTCCGGTGGCTGCAAGCTGTCCTCAGAGCCCCCGGCACCAAACACCCAGTCCCCAGTCTCCACGATGTGTTCCGTTCGGCAAAGGGCTTTGAGGCACAGTCACTGAGCTAACCTGGCACCCAGCTGGGTCTATGAGGGAAACGGCCCAGAGCGGGGAGACCTCAGCCCGCCAGCCAGCCAGCTCACGGCAGAGACAGGACAGAGATCCAGGTTCTTGCTTCCAAATAGGGCTTAGGTCCAACTGCACTGCGACTGGGAAGGTGGCCAGCCTCGTGGAGGGCCCAGCCCCACAGCCACTGGTGTGGCTTCCTCCGCAGCGCGGTGCCGGGGCTCAGTCCCCGAGGCCCTGTGAGCCTGCCCAGCCCAGGCTGCCGTGCTGGGTGGGACACAGACCTGTTCACATGGGGCACCTGGGCATGCTGTTCCGAACCACAAGCCAATGTGAACTGGATCTGAACAGAAGGGAGAGGGGGGACCCCAAGAAGTAAAGGGGTGGGGCAGCCTCAACAACACAGATCTGTCCCCTGCCCCCACCAGTAACCCCCCTCCCTCCGACTCACTGCTGTCACGGCCCACACACTGGTGTCCTCGGGCCCCGGAGGCTCCTCTGTAGAGTGGAGCACCAGGCAGGCAGACCCTCAAGGCCTCGTCCGTGCGCTCCTCTCCCCCACCGGCCATTTCTGTCACCCAGCCCCCGCCCCTGCCCCTCATGGGTGCTCTGGGGCCGAGGCAGCTGGGCATCACTCCTGTAGGCTGAGATAGAGCCACTCAGCAGGGACCAGGCTGCCAGGGAGGCAGAACTTTGCCAACTGTAGCGCTTTCAAGGACAGCTCGAGACACCCGGCAGCCCAGCCCCTGAAGGGTGTCCAGAGCCCACCTGGCTCCTTGCAACAGGGACAGCAGGCCTTTCGGTGCCTGCAGTTCAGACTGACCCAGCACCAGGCAGTAACACCCAAGGCATCCAGAGCTCCGAACGCCCGTCGCTCAGTGACGCCTCGATGACATGTAACTGCTCCTGTCCGGTCTCGGGTGCTGGGAACTTACAAACGAGCCGTTACCGAAGCAGACTTTCCCTAACACCTAACACAGTCATTACCCAGTAACAGAGCTGAGACACTGGGCCGCCGGGAGGTGGGAACTGTGCAGGGAGATCCCTGTCCCTACTTACCCCAAACAAACGCCAGATGGCTCACATATTTAAATGTAAAAAAGAAAAGAAACTCAAAGCTACAAGAAAATGGGAGACTTTTTCAAAAACTTGGTATGTGAAAGGTTCTTCCAAGCATGTTACAAAACTCTGAATCCTTTTTTTTAAGACCAATATATTAAACTATATAAAAATAATTTCTTCATAGCAAAATGCACCATTAAAAAATTGAAAATGTTTGCAGCACATGTCGCAAAGGACTACTCGACATCAGCTATCAAAAGTAACTGGACGTCTACTCCCAGGAAAATGAAATAGACGTATTTCCCTAGTCTTCTCACTCACTACAAGTAAAACCCCCGGCAGAAACACCAGTGGGCACAGACGAAGCCCGGACAGAAGCCTGCTCTCTGTGGCCGAAGAACAGAAAAGGAACAGCCTGGCAGGGCAGGGACAGCTGTCTGCACTGGTGGGGAGCGCTCCCCGTCCCGCAGTGGGAAACGGGAACCAACATGAAGACCCAGTGGACGGGCTCCACGGAAGAATGGAAAACAGAACAAATCCACACGCTGGGAGTCAGAACAATAGAAATTACCCAATGTGAACAACAGAGAAAAGAGACTGAATAAACGAAGCGAGCCTCAGGGACCTATGAGACCAGAACAAAACAGCAGTCCCAGACGAGAGAAGAGGGTGGGGCTGGAAAAGTACTCCACAAAATAGTAGTGAAAAACTCCCCAAATTTGGTGAGGTGTAAACTTACAGATTTAAGAAGCTGAGCACACCCAAACCAGGTAAACCCAAAGAAGTTCCTGCCCGATACATCATTCTTAAATTTCCGGGAGTGGGAGACCAGTTCCTAGAACGCTGAGGAGCGGCAGCTCGCCCCCGGGGGCGCGCGTGACTGCCGGGGTTCTCGGCAGGAGTGGGGGCCAGGCCGGCACAGCACAGTACTTCTCGGGTGCTGGAAGGAAAGAACTGCAAACCCCAGATTCTATACCCTGTGAAAATGTTGTAAGAGGAAGCAAGACATTCTCCAACCAAGGAGAACGAGGGCCTGGTCACCAGCAGACCTGCCCTCAGGAATAGTGGAGCATTTTTCTAAATAGAAGGGAAATGATGAGAGAGTAACCTTGCAACATCAGGAAGGGTGACTGAACATGAAGCAAAAATATGGGTAAATACAACAGACTTTCCTTCTGCGTTTTCTAAACCTCGTTTGATGGTTGAAGCAAAGGTTAGAGCTGAAATTAAGGTGTTGTCAGGCTCGGTTCCTGCCCGGGGCTGAGGGAAAGTGCGTCCCAAGGCTGTGTCCTGCGCCTGGTGCCTCGGGCCCTCGGCCTCCCCTCTGGACCTTCACTGTGCTGCGCTTCTCATGGCGCGTGCCTTCCCTAAGGCCCCAGGTGAGCTGGGGACCCACCTAACTCCAGGAGAACCTCATGTAATTACATCAGCAATGACCCTATTCCCAAATGAGGTGCTAGGGGTTAGGACTTAAATATATGAATGCGTGGGTGGACACAATTCAATCTATGACGACTGCCTTATAAGAAAAAGGGGTATTTTCCTTGGGATTAAATTAAGAATCTTTTTTTTTTTTTTTCCATTTTTTGTTCAGACAGAGTGGGAGGGAGAGAGAGGGAGAGAGAGAGAGAGAAACATCAACATCAAAGGGACACATTGAGTGGCTGCCACCCGCACGACCCACCAGGGCCGGGGACAAACTGCAACTGACATACGTGCCCTTAGCGGGAACCGAACCCGGGTCTCTCAGGACCGCAGGCCAATGCTCTAACCACTGAGCCAAACCGGTCAGGGCTAAATTAAGAATCTTGAGATGGGGAGATGTGGGGGGCCTGAATCCAATCACTTGTCGCCATGTGAGAGAGAGGCAGAGATTAGATACAACCGAAGAGGACCCTGTGACCTCCACATGGCCATGGAGCAGACCCCGGAGAGATGCCACCACAGAGGAAGGAATCCCAGCACCACCAGAAGCTGAAAGAGGCGAGAAACACTTCCTCCCCAGATCCTCCTGAGGGAGTATGACCCTGCCAACACTCTGATTTGGGCCCAATGAAGCTGATTTCTTATTTCTAGCCTTCTGAATTGTAAGAGGGTGTATTTGTTTCTCTTAAGCCATTCAGTTATGTAATTTCTCACAGCAGCCACAGGAGACTAAATATCCCTAAGGCCTCATGCTGATCTGCCTACAATTTAATTTTAACCCATAAGATCCATAGTGGACTTCTCACATCCAAAACTAAAAGATATAGAGTTGCATGGGCTCAAGACACTAAATTTGTGGTACTTTGTTATAGTCACAATAGGAATCTAATACAGAGGGTAGTTTCTTCAACTTAATAAAAAGCATCTAAAAAAATCTACAACTAACATTATATTTAATGGTGAAAGATGATTTCCCCTCTAAGACTGGGAACAAGGAGAGGATTCCATTATCACTAATCTTAAAGTGCTGGGAGTTGTAGCCAATGCAATAAGGCAAGAAAAGGAAGTAAAATTTATTCATTTCAGAAAGGAAGAAATAAAATTGTCCCTATTTGTAGATTATAATAGTCTTTCCTTATCCATGGGGGATACAGTCCAAGCCCCCCCAACAGATTTCTGAACCTCGGATAGTACTAAATTTTATATATACTATGTTTTTTTCCTATGCGCACATACCACTTTACAGCTTCTCTTTAGCATATTCAAATTGCCAGCATCCCTACTCTTGCACTTTGGGGCCATTATTAAGTAGAATAAGGTTGATGAGAACATAAGCACTATGATCCTGAAACAGCCAATCTGATGGCCAGGCTATGTGACGAACTTGGTGCATGCCCTGGACACAGGGACAATTCATATCTGGGCAGCTCAGTGCAGCAGCTCAAGACTTCATTGTGCTCCTCAGAATGACATGCAGTTTAAAACTTATGAATCATTTATTTCTTGAATTTTCCATTTAATATTTCAAACTGTGGTTGACCATGAAACCAAAACCATGGAAAGTAAAACTCACTGATTGTCTATGTAGAAAATTCCAAAAAATCTACAAAAAATTATTAGAATCAGTGAGTTAAACAAGCTCACAGGATACAAAATAAACACACGAATCAATTGTATTTCTGTATATTAGAAATGAACATGTGTGTCCACAGTAAAAAAATCAAACACTGGACTTCCGGTCAAGATGGCGGGTAGGTAAACGCAGTATCGCATCCTCCCACAACCACATCCAAGTTACAACAAAAC